AAATTGGATTTATAGTTAGACGACTCTATTTAAGGATTTTCATCGAGGTTTAAGATCAAACCATATTTCAGATCATGTTTTAAACAGCTTCTTTAATTTAGGAAAAAATATTTTCCGATCGGTCTGGTAATTAAAATCGAATAGGAAATATGCAATTGAATTATTGAGAGTATTTCCTATAATGTCCCCGACACTTCTCATCATCTCCTTTATGAAAAATATAAAAAATATTTGCCAGGTTATATTCATTCACACCCTTGTGATTACGATGCTTTTAGAATACTACTTGGAGACTATGGATTCGGCTAAATACTCGTCAGTCCAGGGCTAGACTTGATTCCATGAAATCCACGAGGGATTTCTGAAATCTTCTGAATTTACTAAATAGATATTTATTTGGCGAAATAGCTGGCTAACCAAACATGTGGCCGAAATATAGATGGAAATTTTTCCAGGATAATATTGATCTATAAAAAGAAAGATAACCTCTTTCAAAATAGACGCAAAACCTAAGGCGCTTAGTTTTAGCGTGTATTTCAGCGATATAGGTGATATTTTAATATCTTCCTGCAAAATGTCCAACTATTTCGAACTATATATATTGTCGGATACGTATTTTTAACATGAAACACATATATTATCAATATATATAGGAAGGAAGTATTCAGTGAAGAACTTCTCTTAAAAATTATATTGCAATTTTTTTATAATGACGCTTAATAAAGAGAGAGATAAGAATGCAATAATTGTTAAACTTATTCATGAAATTTTATTGATAAAAATTCCTACAATTCTTAATACGATCGAAAATTATTCAATGGTTTGTTCCATCAATGAGCCCTCACCGCGCTGTATCTCAATCCACTTTATTATTTTATTGACCTGTTCTAATTACATATACGGTTATAAAATGTTCCAATAGCCCCCGATTCTTGCAAAATTCCACCCCACCAGCGAGTGCAAGTAACCAAACGGGAATCTGGCACATTTTTAAGTGCAATGTCGAACTGCTTTTCACATGTGTAGATATGTGGTGCAACTTACAGTAAAAGCAGTCGCCTACCTTTACTCACTATGATTATCATGACCTGTACCATCTGTATTAGGGATGAGCAAAAAAAAACATATACGGTATCTCAGAGGTATTCTTGGTTTATATAGGTATTCAAGAAAACAATGTAAACAAGCTTTGAGAACATTTGAAGCATATACAGAAAAAACTACTTCAAATTAACAATAAAAATGCTGAAAAGTATAATTTACTTAATATAGGTATCGCATCAATTTATTAAAATGTAGAAGGGCATATATTTTGCACACATATTATATGATTAAGTATATATATAAAAAATATCAATTTATATGTATAAAATATATTACAAATCATGATAATTTTGAAGAATATCTGGCGAAAATCGGGGCAACAGATTATTCTAGTTGCCTCTGTGGAAAAAGAAACCAAGACTCAAAACATTTATTAATAGAGTGTCTATTCTTAAAGAGCTACAGAAGTAATCACTTTTATCCCATCAAAGAAATGTTCGAATTTGTATATAACAAAAACACCTATGTAAAATTCAATAATTTTGATAAATTCACTTTAGACTTTCTTTTCTGTTTGAGAAAACAAACATTTCAGTTTTAATGTTGTTTTTAGTCTTGTTCATTGAATTGTATATAAGCTGCTAAATGTATTTAGGCTCAAGTATCTCAAGCTAGGATATCGCGTCCGATATATGTCCTAAAAATAAAATAAAATATATATTAAAAACAAAAGAGGCATATCCTGACCAGGTTCACATGAGATTTTCTAGATGGAAGAGCGCAATCTAGAGAAGCAAAAATATACTATACGTTTATTTAACTTGCATCGTGATATTTTCTTGATTTATCAAGAAATTGGGTTGGCCAACTATCATAGAACAATTTAAATAAACGTTTAGTTTATTTTTGCTCCACTAGATGGCGCTCTGCCACCTAGAAAAGCTCATGTGAGCCTGGTCAGGATATGCCTCTTTTGTTTTTAATATCAACACCTGGCCTATTTTATAGTTTTTATTTTTTATTGTTTTTTTTTCACATATATATATATATATAAATATATGTATGTGTGAATTTGGTCGCAGTGGTGCAGTCTACTCCACGGTGACAAGCGCCAAAAGCGCGAAACGCGCTCGTGGATGGCTTTTCTTGATTTATCAATACATTGGTTGGCCAGTTATCAGTAAACAGGCTAAATCAATGTTTTGTTGATATCTGTTCCACCAGATGGCGCTCTGCCTTCTGTAAAGCACATGTGCTCCTGGTCAGGATATGCCATTTTTATTTTAATTATATATATGTTATATTCAATTTATTATTTTTTTATATATAATTTTATTTTTCTAATTTGACCAAAAAACAAAAAAGCTTTTTCGAATTATTATTTTGTTCTGTTGTATATAGTTTTTTTTCTTTTGGTTTGGTTACAATGTGTGTTTTTTTTTAATAAACTCATTTACCAAAAATATAATATTATATAGTTAAATAGGTTTAAAATAAAATATGCATATTTGCTAATAATTGATATTTCATTCTTCTTTCTTTTGAAAGTAAAATTTGCATTCGACAATCTAAACATTACTTAATAGTATTTTACTTTTTTTTTATTTCCTCGCCCTCAATATGAGATTAGTCTATAGGATTAACCTATTTTCAATTAAATTATTTTATATATTATTAATTCATTTTTTTTTAAACTAACATAATACAAAATGACGCCAAAACAAGAAAAGGTAGAACAAGCTACGATGCAAAACTCATGTACAATAGAAATACCAAAATCAAGCTTAAATTTTCTTTTTTTAAATTTTTAAATTGGCAAATAAATATTTTATTCAATCCAATATATGCCTTTTCACTATCTAATATATATATATTAATTTCACAAGAATATTGGTAGGGTGCTAAAACCCTTCGGAGAAAAGGCCGAACAAATTTGAGAATATTATCACAATAAAGATTAAAATCTCGATGGAACAAAATGATTAAGGTGATCAATAATATTCTATCAGAGTTTAATATTTTAAATATTGTTTCACGTAAACATGAAAAGCAGTCTTTATATACGTATATACAGATTCTTCAAAATATACACATAAAGAAATTAGAGAAAATATATAATTTGATAATAAAATGCAACTTAAGACATTTAAAATACTATAAAGATAAGAAATCTATTTGCAAAATCGTAACCTTTTTACTTCCAAGATATTTCACCGGGTAAAGAATAAAAGAGGAGAAGGGCAAATTGTAAAAATTGGATATCGGGTTAAATTTTGGGGAGATTCGCAAGGAATCCAATAATGCGCTTTGATTTTCTGGTGAGAGGGAAAAAGATGGGTTTTGATGCTTTTCTTTTTGTTATTGCCTCGGTTTTGAAACACTTAGCTTCAGCCGGGCTTTTACTACTTTGAATACCGAGCGTTTATCGGATGTTGAGTAGCTCGTTTAACCTCGCCTTATAGGGATGGATGATGTCTTCAGAGGAGTATTTTAGAACTTTTACACGTGGATATATACTCCTTCATAATATATATATTGGGGAATGTATTTTCAATTAAACAATAGAAGAATAGCGCTATAATATAATGTCTAGACAATTTATTTTAGACAATTAACATATTTTTATTGACATATTGTCAATAAATGAATAAATGTACTGTCTGCACTTTTGTTCCAAAATGTTAATTATATATATTGTCGCGAATATGTGCCTGAAAAACACTTACAACCTCCGTCAATAGATGGCCTATCGCCTATTACCCGTCTGGAACTAGTGTGGGAATCGCCGAATGCTGTGGTCTTTTTTCCTGGGGCAAATAGTTATAAATAGATGTTTATATTGGCTCTGGTATGTAAATAACTGTAAATACCTGTTGAGGTTCTAGTTATATTCAATGTGGTTTAAAGAGGACAATATAAAGTTCATGTGCTCGTGGTCAGGATATGCCTTTTTAATTTTAATATATAACATTATGTACAAAGAATATAGCGCCTCTGCCACCGCTGAGAGTTTGGTGTAGAAGCGTCATTGGGTCTCCAGATAAAATATATATTGAATTTTGATGTTCAAAAGATTGTTTTTCAAGTTATAGGATTTATTCTTTTCAACTATATAGCTATTAAATGATTTGTAATGTATTTGTTGTTTTGTCCATTGTTTGGAAAATGATTATATAAACATATTTATGTGATAAATTGAAATTAAAAAGTTCTAATTATAATATTATTATTTTATCATGAGGCATTCGTAGGCATTGGATATCGTAAAGATAGAGGCTGCCTGGCCGGCATTCATAGTTCTTAAAATTAAAGATACTTCGGCCAGTAAATATTTTTATTGTCTCTACATTTCGATAAAATTATTTTGTCTTCGTCAGGAGCGAACAAAAATTAAAACATTTGGCAAAGCGTTTAAAATCATTCTAAGCCTGTAAGGGCGTTCTCGCGCGATATTTTAAATTTTTTACAACATCTAAAGCATGAGTCAAAAAAGTACATAATAGAAATAGATTTATTTATACTAATGTGAAATCTTTGTGAATATTATTAGTATATTTATATTTATTTTCGTTTATAATTACTCTCTCTATATATCTTTATCTATATTAATAAAATGCAAATTTCATAAGTGGTGTTCGCTAAAACCTTTCGTTACAATGCATCAATTTCGACCAAATTTTCAACATTTATGTAAAACGAGATGGAGCAGGTTTTGCTTAACATCAAAATATTTTTCCTAACTTTAACATGCGTAACTTCGCTGTTATCGATTAAATACCAAAAAAAATCAACAGAGTTAATTTTAAACAATACTTAAAATTATACCGCATAAGTTTCTTTTCTATGAAAAATCAATATTTATTTTAAAGAGAAATATTTACTATTTTTAACTTTTTTGAATGAAGTATAAGAGGGTGAAAATATGAAGAGTAATGGCGAACGGGAAAAATAAAAGTGTCCAGGGGCGGGAATCGAACTTACAACCTTCTGCTTACCGGGCAGGTGCCATGTCCACTAGGCTACCCTGGACGTTATTTCTCCGTTCGTAAATAATACTTAAAGTAACTTATAATACATTATAAAGGACTGCGGCGTGTGATTATAAACAATACTTAAAATTATACCGCATAAGTTTCTTTTCTATGAAAAATCAATATTTATTTTAAAGAGAAATATTTACTATTTTTAACTTTTTTGAATGAAGTATGAGAGGGTGAAAATATGAAGAGTAATATTGATTTTTCATAGAAAAGAAACTTATGCGGTATAATTTTCAGTATTGTTTATAATCACACGCCGCAGTCCTTTATAATGTATTATAAGTTACTTTAAGTATTATTTACGAACGGAGAAATAACGTCCAGGGTAGCCTAGTGGACATGGCACCTGCCCGGCAAGCAGAAGGTTGTGGGTTCGATTCCCGCCCCTGGACATTTTTATTTTTCCCGTTCGCCATTACTCTTCATATTTTCACCCTCTCATACTTCATTCAAAAAAGTTAAAAATAGCAAATATTTCTCTTTAAAATAAATATTGATTTTTCATAGAAAAGAAACTTATGCGGTATAATTTTAAGTATTGTTTATAATCACACGCCGCAGTCCTTTATAATGTATTAAGAGTTAATTTTATTTATATATAAATACAAAAAAAAAATCAGCAATTCATTCAACTCAATCTAAAAAAATATTCAAAACAAGCAATTTTAAAATAACACCATATGTAAAACAGTCGGCCAAGAAAACAACAACGATATTACATCTTTCTCACATATTCACATACAATCTTGATTAATAATTAAAACTAATCTTTAACATTGTTTATTATACTTCATCTATATATATATAAATGAATGTATGTGTGTGTGTCTGTTTGTCCTTTATGCCTGACCAAACCACTCATTGGAACGCCATGAAACTTTGAGAAGTTATTTAGTATAGTACTGGGAAGTTTTCTAGCAAATAAAATTTTTGAAATAACTTTTCGCCTAAAAATAATAAAGGTAAATATTCTAATTTATCTGTAATAATTCAACAATCTGCTCTAAATATTATCATGATGATACGATGATTTTGCAATGTAGAAAATTAGGAAAGACAAAATTCAGGATGACGCGGCAATTTATTTTGGACAAGAATAATGATACAATTCCAAGGCAAGATACTATTCCTTTAACTTCCAATTACCGAGGGAACCAATTATTATTGATTTTATTCAACTTATCGAGTATTTTTCAAGGGACCGGGAAAAAATGTTCACTTTATCGAGAGATTCGTTAGAAAAACCTTTACTCGGGTAAAACCCGGGCGAAGCCGGGTACATCCATACAAGAATAATGATACAATTCCAAGGCAAGATACTATTCCTTTAACTTCCAATTACCGAAGGAACCAATTAATATTGATTTTATTCAACTTATCGAGTATTTTTCAAGGGACCGGGAAAAAATGTTCACTTCATCGAGAGATTCGTTAGAAAAACCTTTACTCGGGTAAAACCCGGGCGAAGCCGGGTACGTCCGCTAGTATACATATATACTAGCCGAATGACCCGGGCAACGCCCGGGTTTTACCCGATAAAATGCTTTTATTCAAAATACTATTTGTTACAATTATAAATTGGCGCCGTGGATGTCATTCTTGTGAAACGTTCCGCTCCAAACTTTGTGTCTGAGAAGCGATATTTTTATAAAGAGAAGATCTGGCTTTGTGTCTTCTGCTCGAATGAATGTTTTTCTGTTAGAATTTTGTTCCTGAATACTAAAAATGAACTGGCTTCACCCGTGGTCTCTGCTTTTTGGAATTTTTCCAGATATAATTTTGTATCTGATAATCAAATATGATACAGCAGTATTGTCATCATGATTTTCTGAATAAAAAACAACTACTTTTTCCCAGAACCTGTCAATTTATTTTTCTTGACTAAAAATCCGAAAAATATATTTTCCAGATTTTTCTCTATGTCCTGTTAAAACACGTTTTACATGTCCATTAGGTCAGCTGATATTACCTCCCATCTTCACCGCTAGAGGCGCTGCTTGCGAGCGAAAGGGCAAATTTGCAACGCAATTTGCAAATAACTTGTATACATACTTGTATACTTTTGTACATAGACCATAAATCTGTACATAGACAGGAAAATCACATATATTTTAATAATATAAATGAGTTTTAAAATTTGTAAACAAAAAAAAATGAATCGGCCGGGAATCGAACCCGGGGCGCCCGCGTGGCAGGCGAGCATTCAACCACTGAACCAAAAGCAAACGGTGATAGAATTGTGCATGACTCTGATACTTGTATATTTTAATTATAATTTATTTAAAATATCATAGTCTTTTGTGAGTTAAATATTTGTTTTTTTACTAAGTTGAATTTTCTACAAAATTTGAAATATCGCGAGAGAACGCCCTTGCAGGCTTACAATAATTTTTAACGCTTTGCCAAATGTTTTAATTTTAGTTCTCTCCTGACGAGAACAAAGGATTTTTGTCGAAACGTCGAGATAATAAAAATATTTACTGGCCAAAGTATCTTCAATTTTAAGAACTTTTCTTTTGGAAATTTCCTTCTTATATATACAAATTCACTTTGTATACACAAAAATTGTTTGTTAAATCGACAATCTACAGGCGGACACGTGACGGGTGGAAGGGTAGATTCTTCTCTCTGACCCTCACTATCCACATCCGCTTTGGCCTTATTCCAATGAGTCTTTTGGACAAGAGGTATGCGTACATCGTCCTAAGCGAGCACATCGTGGTTGGCCTGCTTTCGGGACACACGTGGAGGAACAGTTTTCACCACAGGATAGGTGCCATCGACGATCATTCCTGCCCTTACTGCGACGCCAACAGAACGAAACTCTGATGCACATCGTGCTAGAGTGCAGCAACCATGGTGCCTTTAGATGCCGCCTCCTCTCTATCTGTGTAGTATAATTGGGGCACACCATTGGAGACTTCATCTCTATCAGGACCACTTGGCGAGCTTGCCTAGAGTTCTTGAAGACCTAGGATAGACTCAATCCACGCATCCGCGCGGAGTAAATCGATCACCTCAGTGATTCAGACTCCTTCCTCGTGATTAAAAACGGTTATTAGTATCCCTACGTAGACGCATCGTGGTGTATGAGCTGATGTGTAATATCAATTTCCTGACCTGCTCACGACAGAGAGAAAATGGTTTTGGCGATACGACGGCGTGAGCCGCTCGGCTAAATAACTTGTACAGCGGCCCATATGAATGCGCTATGAACTCTCTGGATTACAATTGTGGTTGGCAGACTTAATATCGCCACATTCACTATTTATTTTTACCCAAAAGGTATCAACAGTGGAAAATATATATATAAATACCAATTATTTTTTACAAAATTTCTTATCTAAAAAAAAAAAAAAAAACAGAAAATTTATATTATCCCAGAAATTGCCGACTTGTGACTGCACTCTATTTACGTTATCTTATCTTCACTCTGTCTCCCTCTTATCTTCCCTGGCCTGGGGAATCTCACCTTTTTGAACAACATTGATGGCGGGCTGTAACTTGGTGTATTGTAACAGTGTCAGTCTGCTTGATTAATCGATAATTTTCATTTAGCCAATTCTAGAATAATTAAAAATCAACTAATAGTTGATATTCATTCCGATAGATGACGCCAGCCATCAGAAACTTTCAGTTGCACCATAAGAAGATGTATTTTTTCATAAAAATATTTATTTCGTGTAGATCGTTCAAAAATAAAATAATAGGTATAGATTATTTACCCTTAAAACAAGGTGATTTAGACCATACTCTTTTTAACATTGTTTTTTTTTCTATTTTGAAAAATAATTAATAATATTTGGATAAAACAAATAAAATATAGATCATTAAATTTTAGTCAAACAAATGATATTTTCAGATATTATTTTGTACTTAATTCGGTATAACATCCTATCTCTTGGTGTTTACAAATTTATTCTGAGAACATATCTGTATTATTTATATGTATAGGATTTGAAATAAACGCTAAAGAAACTTTTGTGAAATTCAATTTAAGGTTCTACTTGTGTAATATAAACTTTGGAGCAATGTAAACAAGAAAGGAAAATAGGTGCTAACCCTTTTGTTTGTCTTATAAAAATAATTTTCCTCCAAAAACTTGGGAAATATTTTATAATGACTTTTTAATGTAAATATATAGTTTTGATTGTTAGGTATATTTATATATATTAAGAATCGCATAATGTAATACATATTTTATCATTTGTTATTTAATGATAGATAATAATAATTCAAAAATATATTTCATTTTAAAAATTATTTCTGCAATCCCAAACGTAAAACAGGATATTTTGGAGAACACAATTCATTATTGAAGTCTGTCAGCTATTTGTGAAAACTAATCAACCATACCGCCTTGACTACTAACGCTGTTTGGCTTATATATTTTAGATTTTGTAACCTTATATATCAGAAAATTATGAAACCTCATTTAGTAAAATAGTAATATTTACTATGAATGAAGATAAAAATTAACTTTATAAAAATGCAATTTTTATTATAAACTTTAACGAACTTTGAAGGCTAAACTTTTTAACGGATTCTTTGATAAATTTTCTAAAAATAATTTAAATAATTTAATCACATATTTAAAATTTTATAGTAATAGAATACAACTATTTTATATTTATATAAACCATATGCACAACCAATACATGAGACTTATTCTAGCGAAACCTTCAAAGTACCATCTCAACATTGAATTGAGGGCGGTTGAATTTGATCCTGTCCTTGTCTGGATGAAGAGCTTCCCTTTATGAGAACAGCTTTTTTATATATTTTTATCATCAAATTGTAAATAATCACATATATGTGGTAACCGAGGGTCAAACCTGTAGTAACCGAGAGGGACAGTCAGGGCGTGTAGAGTTTTCCAGTACCTCTCTGCACCTTGGAGGACCTTTAACAGTTCTCACAGAGTACAGGCAGTCGTGGTCGAGGCAGAGTGGAAAGCTTGGGAATGTCCACACACAAAAAACGAAGAGA